TAGTGGAAGTAGATGACCTGAAAAAAATAAATAATTCTTTGTCTGTTCTGCTCAGTGAAAAACAAAGGCAAGAAAAGGTGAGTTGAATGATTTTGCTTCTTTGTACTCGGTTTTAGAGAAGCTTCTTAAAACCTCTTTTGAGTGGAAAATAACTTGATTCTTGCCTAGATTGAGAATCTTATTTACAGCCACTAAGACTACTTGTTATTTATAATTCTGTATTGTTCATTATAATCAAAAGATCAACAGCAAAATACTCAATATTCATTTGTTGCTGTTACTCACAGGAAAAGAAGGCAAATAAGAAAAAGAAGAAAGGTGTAGTCCCTGGTGGTGGATTGAAAGCAACCATGAAAGATGACTTTGCTGATTATGACGATGGCTATGGCAATGATTTTGATGACTTCATGTGACGAAGGTTCATCATCCCCCTTCCGATTCCCTCTGTGCCCAGATGCCCTTGCAGACATGCAACATTACTCTTTCATGCTTCTCAGTGCCATCTTGGACACTGAACAATTGTGTCAACCCTTTACTTGGTTCCAGTGGTGACGGACTCCTCATAAAGCTGCTATCAGCCCATTGCACCCCAGCGGCAAATGGGGGAATAGTACATTTATTCAGACGGCCTTGAAATCTCATTTTTATTTTAAAAAACAGACTGTATGATGTGGGACGTTTCCTCTGATTGGCTTAAATAAGCATTTCAATGCCTTATAGAGAACTTTGTATACAATATCCCTTGTTTTCATTGAAAGTGACTTATGTTTTTAAAGCTGTGCAATTTCAGTTACACAGAAGTAAATGTGATGCTCTATACACATTAATTTCTTCCAAGAATGTCCTTATCCAAAGTATGGTTATACTTTTCTTGTATATTTATCCACAATTGGAAACCGTATCAGTTTTCCAAATGTGAACCATTAAACATTTGAAAATCGGACGTTTGTCAGTCGAGTCAACACTACATAATGAACACTGACTAAATGAAAGGATGAAAATGGAAGTAAAACAAAACCGAAACCAAGCATCATCGTGAATCTGTTGACATTGACTTTATGTGAAATCAGAATGGACTATGTTGCGCAGTTGTTTCTCTGCCAAAGTTTATTTTAAATGAACTTATTGCTGCACATTTGATCAATTAATGATATTCAATGTTGCTGCTCATATGACAGTATATGATCACTGTTAATCATTACTAACTGAATCAGCAGGTCCATGGGTCTTGTGTTTTTGTTTGACCTGTTGTCATTATACAGTAAGCTTCTACAGGCATGTATGAAGTAAAATGAAATGCAAACTTGGCAGCAAAAATATTTCTAAAAAAACTGCTTAGAGG